TAATAACAAGAAATACAAAATAGTATTATACCGTTTATAATATTATTTGATAATATCAATATGATGAATAAAACATTTGTTCACGTCATATTGAATCGTAACTTTTAATTTAAAATGAAAGAAATGTTATTGATATATTAATGATAGCAAGAAATTAATATAAAGGATAACTTTCATTTAAAAAAATAGAAAAACGTATTTACTAAATATGTTAATTCTGTCTTTTACATAATAATTAGTGAAAGTAGTATCCATACGAAAGTAATATGAAGAAGTTTTTCTTATCTGATTGATCGAAATAATATTCATGGAAAAATTCTTATTTGATCCACATGCGCGGATTTGCGAAAACTTCAATTTCCACCTTTGAATACTAAAGCACGTTATGAAACTACGATCATATTAAGTTTCATTCTTTACATGGTACTTTCTATTTTCTTAATTAAACAACTTTGCGAAAATTTTTTTCCGAAATTAATTATTAAACAAATTTTCTTTTTCGTACTGTTTTTGATAACAAACATATTAGATAGTACGATATTATAAGTTTTCTCATTATGAGGTATTAATTTAGATAATATATTACAAACATAAATTGTATTTGATTAATGTCATTACGTAATGGCGAATATATTGAAATGTTAATTTTACTTTTAATTAACTAATTTTATTATTACTAATTTCAATGATTACTAATTTTGTAGAAAGTAGCATTATCTGTCTATTTTTTTCTATTATTCACATTACTGACTAAGATTGTTAAACATTTTATATTTTCTTAATAGCTCTATAGACCTAAATTTTCAGTAGAGTCATTCAAAATTCTCAGTATAATATATAACTAATAAATTAAAAAATAATTGACTTAAAACAATTTTGATGTTTTGATTACACTTAAGAGAAAAGAAAACACAAATTACTTAAATTATCACGTTTTTTGAGATTGCAGGAATTCCAGTGCCACAGCACGTATCAATACCTATTCCTCATCCTATGGCAGTAGGTGTTGCTCAACCCTATCCTGTTCACGTGCCGGTCATCCAGCATATTCCTGTGCCGGTTGTGAAAACCATCGCAATTCCAGTTGAGAAGAAGGTCCCATATCCGGTGGAGAAAATCATACCAGTGCCCGTGGAAAAACCGGTGCCAATAACTATCGAGAAACATGTGCCCGTTCCTGTGGAAAAGCTGTATCCGATTCATATACCGATTTATAAGCACGTCTTCCACCGAAGAAAAACAAAAAAACGCGGTCGCAAATGGTATTATTGAAGAAAGTTGAGCTATAATTAGTTATAATTAAACGAGATTTCAACGGATGACAGGAATGACTGTTGATTCGTGGAACATTTTCTCGCAAAGACGAATGACATTAGATAGCGAAAGTAAATTCATCTTTCTTGAATTACAAGTCTTGTTGACAGGATTGTTATGCTTGTTAATGATGCGAAAGCAATATTTGCTTCCTTGCCTATTTTTTAGTAGCACCGTAGCACAATTGTACTTATACTTGTTAACAAGCGTTGTTCATTATTGCCAAATAATAATCTTATTTAATAGATAATTTTTTTGTATTATATGTGTAAAATTTTTTATCTGTTAATAGATAAATGTAACAAAATGTTGGTAATAAAAATTTATAAAATTATTAATGTATCAAACATTTCAAATTTATTATTCTAAACAATCAAACAATAATATATGTGTAATGATGCAGTTCAATTATTTGCGCTTTGATATATTTTTTTTTATAATAGAGAACAAGGTGGTATTATGTGGCACTCTAGTTACATTTTACACATAACTTTGTTAATAATCAATATTTAAGTTTAAAACTTAATTACATTCGTTAAATAGTTGTTAAATCGATTATAAATTTAAAGTTACGAAATATTTATTATTTAGGACACTATTAATAAAAATGTGGTGACATTGCATAATGACAAAGAAAAATATGAGTGGTAATGTGACCTTCCATAAAAAATTAGTTTTAAAAATAGTATTTAGTTACAAAATTAACAAAAAAGTAAAACATTTTAAAATGTATGCAAATAAATGTATATACATTCACACAATTTATGTATATAAGCTGCTTAGTACTAAAAATCTCAGTGTAATAAAAATAGTATACATAATAAAATATAGATTAAGGAGCTAAATACAATCGATTATCAAATAATTATTTTTATATGAAAACCTTATATGAAACCCTCAACAAAGATTGAATACTCAATAGGGGGCCACATTAGCAAAATGCCATGCTATTGTTTAAATTTGCACAAGTCAAAATATATACAGTCAAATAAAATATTAAATAGCAAACAACACACTCAAAAATATATATATTTGTGCGATAATGCGCTCAAATTTAAGAAAAATGAGGAAGTAGATATAATTAAATGCTAAAATATACTTCAGAAATGTTTTGAAATATTTGAAAGTAAAAAATGCATTATAATAAGTGCTGGCTATTAGTATATTAGCGTCATGGTGTAACGGCGAGCTACTGAACAAATAATTCCATAAGTAATCGCTAGAATTCGCCACTTAATAGCGAAAATATTAAGAGCCCATTGGCCATAACATCATCTTCTCTAAATATTTTTTGAGAGAATAATTTATATAGAGAACAATTTAAATTAAATCTCAAATTGGTGTGCAGATTATTATAAAATTTATAATTTCTGTCCAAAATAATAAACTTCAAACATTTTATATATTAATTAAATTCAGATTAATTTTTAAAAAACAATTTAATTAATTATCTATCTTTGTCTATATTCTTATTAACTAATTACAATTATTATTGTTAGATTATAATTAATAATCTAATAATTGATTTAATAACATAATTTATTTTGAGCAATAAAACATATTAAAGAATGTAAAAATAATTTTTTGTACACAAAATTTAAATCTTGAATATTCAAGTCTTACATTAAAATTTTTCTTTTTATACAAATCTTTTAATAAATAAAACAATTAAGTATAAAAGCTACGCAAATTATTAATAATATATTAAATAAATATGTTTTACATCTTTAATTATATTGAAGAACCTTATAATTAACATATATTTTTGTTAAAAAATTAAAAAAGAAGGATATAGATAATTAAGAACAATAAATACAATTATTTTCTAATATATGTAAATATTAAATGTGTAATTGTTATGCAAATATTTTTATGCATTCTTTATATTAAACTGTAATATATATACAATATATATATGTAAACACTATAAAAGGGATGATAAGTTCACTCCAGATCCTATACATATATAATGTACATATATGATATGCTACATATATAAATATATATAAACATATATAACAGTTTTGTACATAGTGTACTTTAAGTCACAGTGGACCTTCACTTCCTTTCATTTCCGTATAATTCTCACGAACATGTTATCATTCGAGATCGTAATAAATTATAAAAATTAATGACTAAAACTTTAGTGATTGTAATTGCAAGTCATTTCTTTGAAATCTTTATAATATATATACTTATATATATATCCTTATTGTACCTTTGAACTATAAAGGTTTGATTTTATAAACTACAATTCATTTTGGATTCATTGAAAGTGGTCACAGTTCAGTAAACTGGTAATTTTATTCTTCTTCCGATCTCAAGGAAGTTAAAGTAGGAAAGTATTCATTTTATGCTTTTATTAATTTTGCTTCTATATATGATTGCCTTTTATATCCAATTCTTTCTAATGATTTACAAAAGATATGCATTCACCTGGTAGTTAATTGTTTTTGATTGCTTCTGGCTACATAATATCTATATGTAAATTAAAGCATGCACGATTTAATCATTTCGTATCGAAAATCATACACGATTATTTTATATAATAAGCATTTTGGCAAATTAATATAAAAATTCTCACTTGTTCTATTTTATCTTTTACAAAACTTAAGTTCCGTTCTTTTTTTAAAAAAAGATTCTACCAAGATCGAATCTCGTCAGACTTTTGAAAGTTTAAAGGAAAATTCCATAAATCAGGGACGGTACATAGCTCTCTTAAGAGCTACGTTATATCTTGCTAATTATTATAATATTAAAAAAATAATTCACGGAGTAGCTGGGTACATCATCCACACATTCGTTATGCTCTCTTCACATATAGTTGAAGTTTATACGCATGCACTAAAATTAGCCTTTCGAGTTTTGCAATTATATTGCTATTTGTCACATAAGATGGTTATCAATTTTGTTAGAAATAATGAGATTACAAAGGTGAAAAGATGAATGAAATAGGCGTAAATTACATTAATTTGTTATCGTTATATTAAATATAAATAACTTTTACTTTAAAATTTTTTAATTATAAAAATTGTTATTATATATGAATATATATAAATGAAAAATAAATAAATTTTATGTAGCTTTTTAACAAAAATTATTTATTTTATTAAATGTAAAAGTAAATTTAATTATAATACTAATACGTAATCACATTATAGCTGTTTGTCAAATAGTAATCAATAGCATCAAATATAACGAAAAAATTAAATACGTACTTAGACAATTAGAATAAATGTCTGTTCCGACAATAGCGGAAGACATTTTTTTCGTAACAATGTGATAAGAAGCGATTGGTTTAAAACGTGAAATTAAGATGATTAAATGAAGCGTGGTAGACAATCTTGTGACGAATGACGTATAAATTTAACAAACTTTTCCATATCAAACGTTGATTTAACGATGGTGTGGTAGACAGTAAACCCAGGTGAACGTGGAAATCCGCATTCATAGACGCTCACCTGTACAACGGAATAGGAAATGTCCGATTCGTTGTCAATGTGAAGGCCGCGAGGACACGGTCAATTATTTTCACGTGCACACCGAGTAGACTACAGTGAAACAATTGCACCGGGTGGGTATAATTCGCCTCAGTGCGAAGCGAGACGAAATCACATCGTCTACAGTGAAAGGCCTCACGGTATATTAAGACGGGAAATGGACGAAGATGTATCAGTCGTTCTAGAGACTTGCGCTACTTGCAACTTGAAGCGCACTAATAGAAACACGTGGGAGCATGAACGGAATCGTAAGTACTGTAATTTGCTGATTTCCAGATAGCGTAATTTAAAATGCTAAATTAAAATTAGACCATAAATCTGTTAGACATTCTCTGAGAAGATTGTGTCAATCTTATCGTACGTTTAATTAATTTGTCTTTTGACTTAATTTTGTCACATTACATGTAATATTATCAGTATATTTAATTTATATTGTGTAGAATAAATTAATTGGAAAAAGGATAAAAGTTTGTTATATTTATATATATTGTCACACGTTGATGGATTTTTGCGAGTTATCACACTTTCCATTTTTTTAATGTACCTTTTACAGGTGCTGTTTTCTCTGGTGTCCTTGGCCGCGGCTACGCCGATAACCTTTGGCCAAGATGGAAGGCACTACATGTTGCAGTTATTTAGCGGCCAGTATGGCATCGATCGATCAGATCAGGAAATCTCCGGTACTTCCGGCGGCGGAAGTGACTACGGAGGTGGCTATGGAGGTGGCTATGGAGGTGGTTATGGTGGTGGTGATATCGGGGGTGGCCATGGGGGTGGTTTCGAAGCTAGTTCTGCTAGCGGGCATCTAGAATCCGGTGGTAGTCTCGATAGTGGTCATCAGGATTTCTCTTCTGGCGGATTCGACGGTGGTCACACTGGTGGAGATGGTGGCCATGGAATCTCACTGGACAGCGGACATAATTATGTTCACAGTGTTCCCGTTTCTGAGCATGTTGAAGTGACAAAGCCCGTTGCTATACCAGTCTACAAACACATTGGTAACGTACTGTTACATCCTCTCCGAACTGCGAGTTGTATTTGAAAATTATAGAATTAGAAATTACAACTTTATAAAAAAGTCGGTCCTTTGCTAATAATTATGGAGAATCAGTTTGGAAGCCATAATTATTATTATTACTATTGGTTATTTATGTCAGCAGTTAAAAGTTAATAATTTGCTCTTTTTGAGACTATGTGTATGTGACAAAAACAATAGTAAAATTTTTAATTAGTCATCCTCTCTTATTATGTATCCACAAAAATTCGCGACATTAATTTTCTTCATTAGCATAAATTTCAATATGTTAAAAAATTTCAAATACTTTTTACGCTTGCTTTACCCTTTATAGCCTAAAGATCTATTCTTATCTCTGTTGAATCTGTTTTTTTTCAGGTGTACCAGTCCCGAAATCAGTACCGATACATGTGCCGCATCCAGTAGCAGTTGGCATTCCGCAACCTTATCCCGTTCACGTCCCCGTACCGAAGCATATTCCCATACAAGTCGTGAAGACGGTGGCAGTTCCGGTAGAGAAGAAAGTGCCTTACCCTGTAGAGAAGCACATACCGATACCCATCGAGAAGCCAGTTCCCATCACAATCGAGAAACATATCCCCGTTCCAGTAATAAAGCCGTATCCTATTAAGATTCCCGTTTACAAGACTATTTACCATCACGCGAAGAAGCATTAAAATGTGCCTACGGCATGGAGGATTTCTATGGATAGGGAAGAACGTGGTACATACAGCCTAGGGCTATGTTCTAAAATTCACCAGTGCTAAAAATCTATTTCGCACGTAACGTAAACTATAAATTTTTATACGAATTTTGGAACACAGCCTAAAACTATAGTCTACCTGATGCTACAAACGTTTCGAAGCATTTTTCGATTGATTAGTAAAATTTGTTTTTATTGATTAATTAAATACTTCGAAGCATTTGTAGTGTTAAGTGAATCACACTAGAAATAACTCTTAGCGATCCACATCTTTTAATCGAGTGAATTTTAGAGGCTACAGTCCACTTGAGGCTGCAAATATTTTGAAGCACTTTTTGATTCTGAGATAAATTTATCTAAAATACATATGTATTAATCTAACATCTAACTTTGATTGTAATTGTGCTTCTCGTACTCAGTTAATTCTTTGATTAGGTAATTAGTAAAATTTTTCCTTCCAATTGGTCAATCAAAAGAAAGCTTCAAAGCATTTGCATTTGTAGGACACTAAGTGGACCGCACCCATCGATTAAAGTACGCTGAAACATTTAAATTAAAAATACTAATTTGAGTGTGATTAAGAACCGAGAAGATGCGTACTCAGTATAAAAATATCTTCTTTTTTACTCGAAGACGTTGTTACAACAGCCCTACTTTTGCTCTGTATCTCTAAAAAACAACTATGTGTATAGTTAAATAATTTACTGAGTGCTTGGATTGCTCAGAGTTAATTCAGCTATATTAGCTACTAGCCGTTTATTTGAAACTTATTTAACTTTAAACGCTAGTAACTTTGCGAAAGAAATTGTAAGAACTGATAACTTGAACTTAACTGACGCACGTTTATCTATCCTAATCCTCATAGCACTACATGCCGTCAATAAGAAAGTTTATGAAAAACAACCCATGTTCGCTTGGTCGAGCGCTCTTCGACTCTGCTTTATTTTTTTTGTATATACGCGTATTTGTAATCGTCCGCGCAACTAGCGCGTTGTTAAGCCACTTTTTTAACGTTTTGTTGTTCTGTTACGTTTTTAAATAAAATGCTTATAAAACTAAATACTCTTATTGTTCTTATTAAGTGAAAGTCTGTTGTCAAGATTCTTTTTACTATCTCTGCATGTACGTCAGAAAGTGCTGAGATAGAAAATTAAGATAACGAGCTAAATTATAAATATAATTAAAGACTGTCGTTCTTATTGCTCGAGATAATGATAAACGACCCAAGTGAGTTCGAAATCTACCAATATTTATTATGTATAATAGCATAAACAGTTTAAATGCGCATTTTAATTAGTATCTGATCGTTCAATATCTATTTATTGTCCTTTTTTGATAAGTACACGTTCGAATTATAAAAATGATGTTTTAATTTTTATTTATTGTATCTATGTTATTTTTATATAACTTTTTAAATTCTTTAATACATTAACTTATTATTTATTCTTTAAATTATAATTACATATCTATTATCCCGAGAGTCAAAATTATAGTCCTACTTTCAGTCTCTTTCAATCTCAATTAAACCTTATAAATCTGTTTTGATACTTAAGCAATCAAATAGGACGTCTTCTAATATTACTTAATCTACAGCTTTTATTTAGAAAACTTTTTTTAAATCTAAAAATAGGAAATTTTCCGATAACTGCCATTTACAGGTTTAACGTAGGAGCTTAATTCATTAGATTTAAACCTATTATAAATCTCTAGAATCTACATACATTCTAAAATTAAGGTTCAAAGTAGGAGCAAAATTTCGACTCGAATTACTTTTTAAAAGTTATCGTACACCGAAAAAAAGTTGATTGTTGCAACAATTTAGATAGTAAAATATAGCATAGCATTTTTATATGGTTGCAGTAATCAGTTTTTGGTTGTAGCAGCAAATTTTTAGTTGCGTTAGCCTATCCGCAATGTCAGTATATGATTTCGATAGACTAAAAATTTGCTGCTACAACCAAAAACTGGTTGCTGCAGCCATATAAAAATGCTATGCTATATTTTATTGTCTGAATTGTTGCAGCAACTAATCTTTTCTTTCAGTGTACGATTTAAGTTCCCTTAAATTATGAGTAATGTAAAATAATTTTTTATTGTAAAATCTAGTCATTTTTTAATGAAGGTAATCCGTAACAAATTTACGTCAGTAATAATAATAGTAGTCAAACAAGCATCAATTACAGTCTGTACACTGAAAAAAAAAGATTGGTTGCTGCAACCATATAAAAATGCTATGCCATATTTTACTATCTAAATTGTTGCAGCAACCAATCTTTTTTTTTTCAGTGTATGTGTTCCTCAGGTCGAGTAGCGTGCGAGAAGTGCTTGTGACAGGCTTTCACTGTGATTTTCGATAAAAGCACGGGAATTCTGTGGAAAGTGAACGTTAGACAGATTGATTTGCCCGCAATGTACGGGATCACCGTGGTCGCATGCAACAAATCATCCATGACAGCATTGTATCTAACAAGATGGGTCTGTCAATTCCTGTTTTCAACAACAAAAAATAACCGAGAAAACGTCAAGAAGACACTCACAAATAAATATTCACGAGTTTGCGGAATAAAAAAATTCTTAAAATAAAATGAAAGTACTACTGAAAAATTGTACTTTCTCAATATTTTAATATTACACTATTTACGATATTTTAACGTTTAAAAAACGCTGCGTTGTATTTCATTCTTAATCATTGTCTTTATGTAATAATATAAAATTTTCCGTAGCCCCGGAAAATATATTTTTAATTTAAAAAAAAATTTTTTTTTGAATTAATCTTGCTTAAAGAAAAAGTATTTTTTATTAAAAGTTTATACAAAACGCATATAGTATTCAAGATTAAGACAAAAAAGAATTAAATTTATAAATTAAAAAATACGAGTTAATAAGAAGATAAAGCAATAATTATGAACGAAGTCGCAAGTATTAGATGTTATGCAATATTTCCGCATAATAGTGACTGTAAATGATTAGTTCCTCAATCGAGCGATTTATAGCATTTGCGGTGGGGCCATTTCAAAGAATAGTGGGGTTGTTTCTTTTCGTAGGCGGTATATAAAGTGACGACAAAAGAATCTGTCCCGAGAGTAGACTATCTATTCATGACGATAGGGATATTTTAATTAAAAAATGAAAAAAATTGTACGTAAAAACCCACCTTAATTATGTAATAAAATGTAATAAAATATATAAACACATAATCTCGTGTTTAATAATTATTATATTTTCAATTATTTGAACCTAAGTGAAACGCGTTTCTTGCGACCTGTGCAACGATTAATTTCTTTTTAATTTAAAGCCCGGCAGTAATAAAGATAAATCATGTTTTTCATAAATTCGGTTTTACGTTTAAGATTGTGCTATTGGGAGTTATCACATGCTCTTACAGTTCCGATTGGAACTTTGGAAATCATGATGATGGTGGTGGACTTACGCTGGGAGAAATTTCTTTAGATCATTATGGCCTGGGAGGAACAGGTTTGAACACATATTTTTAATTGCCTATTAATTCCACAATTATCTCTGAAATGTATTTTCTAATGCATAAAAGTTGTATAAACGATAACAGTGTAGCCAAGGATCGATTTATTGTGATAATTATAATTATATGTCATGCAGCTTATCACGTAAGTATCTTGTTGTATCGATTTGATAAATAAATGCTGACAAATTGTTTTGAATTTTAGAAAGCCACTCCTTAGATTTATTGGGAGGTCATTTACCAATAAAAATTAGTGATTGGCACTCGGCCACCAGTGGTCATCACGGAGTCAATGTCATTCCCAAGGTTAAGCATATCGGTAATATACTATAATAAGAAAATACATGGATTTTATTAATGTAAAATATTAAGCATAATAATAAAAATGGCTTATATTAAAATGCAAATATACTTAAGGTTGAAAAGATTAAAATAAATGAGTATATAAATAAATCAAATTAATTAAATAATGTTTTGCTTTGTGAGAGCTTTGTTAAGCTGAAGCGTTTCGCTGATTAAAATTTATTAAATGTATATGCATTTTATTAATTTGACATCTGCTCGCTACTTTGACTTTTTTAATCTTATATTTGTATAATAATGATTATTGGAATATTAATTATATTAGATAAAAGTATATATGTACGTATAGAATGTTCAGATAAGATGGCAGATTAGTTTTATTACGATTAAAACTAAAGAGTAATTTTAATTAGTTGGTAATAAA